CCATGAATTTTGCACACTTGCAGGCCAACTAGTTCCAAATTACAGAATGAATAATAGTGCAGAACTCCCAAGGTTTTGGACAATTAGTAAAGAAAAACCTGGGATATTTCAAAGTTACAAATGGGTTTTACTGTATAAACCATAGTTTTTAAACCCGGCCCGGTGATCGACCCAGGCAGGTCCTAGGGTCACCGGTTCAACCGTCGGGTCACCAGGTCAATTGCTGAACCGGATAATTAATTTTAAAATTTTTAAAATTATATATAGAGTATTTCTGTTATATAAATATACATAAAAGTAACAAAATTAAATGTTTTGTGTAAGAAATTTGTATATTAAAGTGTTAATAATATGTATTTCATGATAAATATTTACCATATAAACATATATACATATTTTTATTTTTAAAAAACAAAAAAAATAAAAAAAATATAAAAAATATATATGGGCCGGGTCAACCGGGTCAATGCCCCGGGTCGGCCGGGTCTCTGCCGGGTCGGGCGGGTTTTGACCGGGTTTGACCGGGTCCTTGGTTGCCCGGTCCAAATACTCCACCCGGACCGGTTCCGGCTCTGGGTCGACCGGGTCCTGGGTCGACCCGCCGGGCCGGTCCGGGTCTCAAAACAGTGGTATAAACCCAGAAGATATCACAAGATTTTCTTATCACATTGAGATTTGTATGTTGTTATAGAATAAGGTGTAATCCATAAAAAAAACAGAAGGGATGTTTTTGTAGTTATCATAAACAAAAAGATGAAAACTTTAGATCTTTTCCCCTGCTTTGAAGTTATAACTAATAACGAATCACTTTATTTGTCCAACAGGTTCAGCACTCTTCGGCCGCCTGGCTGACTCGTTCTTAGGAAGGAAAAGATCTGTTCTACTTTCGTGCCTTCTAACCTCCGTCACCATTTTCCTCACCTCACTCTCGCCAAATATATGGGTTTACTCCCTTCTCCGTTTTGCAAACGGGTTTTCACGGGCAGGCATTGGAATAAGCTGCCTCGTCCTCTCCACAGAGGCCGTAGGTCGAAGGTGGCGTGGCCAAGTGGGCCAGTACGGTTTCTTCTTTTTTGCAGCGGGCTTCCTCTCGATTCCCTTAATAGCTTACCCGACAAAAAATTCTTGGCGAGATCTGTATAGGATTATCTCACTCCTTCCGCTCGTTTACTCGCTCTTTATACTAATGCCCTTTGTCTCGGAGTCTCCAAGGTGGCTTCTCATTCGGGGCCGAAGTGAAGATGCCCTCGACGTTTTGAAAAAATACGCAAGGATTAACGGGAAAGAATTGCCTCCAAATTTAACTCTCTTAAAACCATCTGCTAACAAGAAAATGAATTTGACGAAAGGGGAAGAAAAATCCGAGTTTCCTATCGATAAATTTTGGAATACTAAGTGGGCCGTGAGGAGAATGGGTGTAGTCATGCTCACGGGCTTCGGGGTCGGTTTTGTTTACTACGGGATACAACTCAATGTAGAGAACCTCGATTTCAATCTCTACCTAACTGTAGCCATAAATGCAATAATGGAGATCCCGGCAGTTTTCATAGGCAGCGTGTTGTTGAGCTTCACGAACCGACGACTGCTTTTCTCGGTCTCGTCTTTTGTTGCCGGGCTTTCTTGCCTTTTCTGCATTATTTTCTCAACAAATACAGAAAACAAATCAAAAAAAGGAGGAAGCTTGCCTCAGCTTATGGTCGAGGCTTTTGGTTTTATGGCAGCCTCGACAGCTTTCGACGTGCTGTACATATACTGCGTGGAGCTTTTCCCGACCAACGTGAGGAATTTTGCCGTGTCAATGTTGAGACAGGCGATAATGCTGGGGGCCTCGATTTCGCCACTCTTGGTTGTGTACGGGAGACTGAGTCCTTCTCTCTCGTTCTTCGTGTTTGGGGTTTTATCTGTAGTGAGTGGATTCTTGAGCCCGTGGCTGCCCGAGACCAGGAATTGTCCTCTTTACGAAACTTTGGAGCAACAAGAAGAGGAGGAACGGTTAGACGGTTGTGTGTGTAAAGAGTTAGAGATGGAAACGGGCAAGAAAGTGCAAATGCAAATGATTTGTTAACCGCACTGTATTTTTCTTGTTTCTATCCTTAATAATGTCAGGTGAAGATCTGTATCAAGATCTTGAAGGAATACATAAGTAACAAAACATAGGTTTGCCATGATTTGCTTGTTTAAACTTTGTGCATAGCACATGTTATCAGCTCTACATCTGAAAGGAAAACCTTCTGCACAAAAATGTCTGGCTCTGTAATTAGATCATCTGCAGGATTTGTTCCCCTTTGCAATAAGAACATGATGAATACGCTGGCTCAAGAACATGATTACAACACGAACCCAACATTAATTTTACCCTATAAAAGAAGAGGTTTTTACTGTGAGCTATAAAATGAGCCAGCATCAAACTGTATATTAGAATCATCCTCTTTTCATTTCTTTTTAGGGTTTTGCACAAATATAGCAAAAACACAGATATTTTCATGAAATTCAGACAGAATTAAATCGAAGTAATGTGGAAATCCTAACTTTATTAAGAGGAAACAAGAGAAAAAAAAGTTGAGACTTTGATTAATAAGATACTCAACAGCAAAGCAACTCACAGAACCCAATATTATCACAGTACCTAGCAACATAGCAAACACAAAGCAGAAAAATTCGATTTTTTTTTTTTTTCTAAATTCATTTACAGTAGCGATCGGCCTTCTTCTTGACCCGGTCGTCTAGGGCTTCCTCGACGGACTTCGCCTTCGCTTTCGGGTCGTACCCGAATTTCCGGGTCTCCACGGGGAAAAGTTCCTCGTACTTCATCTTCTTCGCGGCATCGATGGTGTACACGTCGCCGTCACCGGAACCCTGTTCGACGACGGTGATGCTCGGGTCGCCGGCGGGGACGTCGTCCTCCGGGAGCTTATTCTTGTTCTTCTTTTTCTTCTTCTTCTTGTCGATGGCCTTGTCGCGGGTGGCCAGCTCGCCGCCCTTGAAGGCCAGCCTTCCGCCTCTCACCCTCTCGTACGCCTCCGACATCGCCGGCCCACTGTAATAAGCTGATCGAAAATTGGGATGAAAATCTGTCTCCGAGTCACGGACGGGAATTTATCAGAGCCGAATTTGATTGGTTTGTTAAATAGGGGCAACGGGTCTAATCCGATTTAGGGCGTGAGATAAAACATAATTGGACCGAA